TCTTCCAAAAGCCCAATTTCTTCAAATCAAGTATCAGGTTTTCACCCCCAAGGGGTGGAGGCCAAATTCTGAAATCTATATTAGATATGGTGTTATTTTTGAAATTGAAATTTTGATTTCATTCACCATCTGTTCCAAACTTCCATCATCACTCTCTGTCACTGACCTTTTCGTGATGTAACATGTTGGACCCACTTGATAGAATTGATTCACATTGATTAATGCAACTAGAAGAGCTTTTCAACTTGACGAGACACACGAGCCTAATCAAGTTTCAACTTGATTAGCTTAGCTTGCTAACTGAGTCCAGTTCGAGTCTAATAAAAGTTCAACTTGACGAGACACACGAGCCTAATCAAGTTTTTACATATACATATATAATATTTTTATTTTTATATATAATAATAACTAATTATCATAATTAATATTTTTTAAATATCAAATAAAAAATAATATATATATATAATTTTTTACTTTTATAAAGTATTTGACTCACAACCAACCTAGGCTGAGCTTAAGGTCAAATTGACTTGAATCCACCCATAGATGCAACTAATAATTTTATTTATTTATGAGCGATCACTAGTAAAATTAGAATTCTCATCAGCGCCCACAGTCCATCCCAGCTGTGTCTGGAAAACATCTACCCATGACAAATACAAAACATGCTTACAATGCATGATGAGATGTGCATGTGGGGGCCTGTGGGGTGCCAATCTGATCATGTGAAATCACTTGGTGGGGGCTCCAAGGTTTTGGCAATTGCACACCAAAAATCGCAAAAACTGCAATCCAGATTTCATACCTACAAAAATTGCAATAACTGATCATGGGCAGGGTTATTGTGAATAGGAGATCTGAATTGCAAAAATTGCTATACATTTGTAAAGACACCCTTAAGATTAATCAATCAATTGAAATTAGACTTTGATACTCTTGATGGTTCTACATAACAAAGTGCCTTATCTCAGAGTCCAATCCCTTGGGTAAGCAAGTAATTCTCATGTAAGGGAGCCTTCAAGATATACTTTACAATCAACTTCTATCATGAATCATCTAACATCAAACTAAAGTGATAATTAGGATATGCGAATCACCCCATTAGGTATAGAGGTCATGTCTGTCATAGACAAATCAAATGAAAAGAGGGGAAAAAAACATGCATATGTACAAGAGGTTAAAAGGAGTGTTATGTAGGGCGGTAAATGGGTCAGGTCTGGGACAGACCCAATCCCAACCTGGCTGACATAGACCTCAGGGGGTCAGTAAGGTAAAAGACCCAAAACCGACCCTATCAGTAATTTGGCTTTTGAGGTCTACATGATGAAACCCAATTTTAATTCTTAGTCCCTTATTTTTTTGCCTTTCTTCTCAAATTCAAATATCTTATATATTTTCAATGAAATGACAATTTGAGATATTTTGTACGAAATTATTATAAATAAAGCATGAAAAATACACCTAAAATGTTGGAACAGTGAGGGAGCCAGGAATTTTCTCTTTGTCCCGATTTATATGTGTAACTGTATCCAAGGTGTGAATATGCACTCCAAAACACACTTGTTGGGTATTGTGTTTTTTCGGCTGTTTATTTGGATAGTTCATCATCTGCACTTACATAAAAACAGGGTAAATTCAAAAAATATAAATCCGTATTTAAATTATAATCCTTATCATGATGCAAAGTCCAACTTTATCCGTGATCATCCCTAGAGAGAGATAGCTTAATTGTTTTCATTTATATAAGTTTGGAGGTGGGGAAGGACCCCACCTTATTACATGGCTTCACCCTTGGTAGAAAAAATTTTGAGGGCAAAGGACCCCTAATGTAACACCGCACCTGGTTGGAGGCATTGCGTATGTTTATATACGTAATTGCTATTTGATTATAATCAGGACTAAAATACATATCCAAACCCTCTATAATATGGTAATGTTGGTTCGGGTTTTTTGGGTCGACCCGGACCATTTGCAGGCCCATTGTTACGTCTTATCCCACTGTGATTTCAAGGCCCGCTACCATTCGTCTTTTTGTAATCAGACCCTTTTGAACCCATGTGATTCTAAAGATAAAAGGGTGTTGCAGTGATCAGTCACATCTCTAATTCACCTGGCATTTAAAAAATTAATTTAACAGATGGAATGATTTGGGAGGCAGTCTGGAGTCTGTACCCTTCCTTTTTCTTTTTATATTCATTTACTCTTTTACTAATGCTGTCAAAGAATCATTAAAAATTAATGCATGTATTTAAGTAGAGGTGTCAATAGACCAGTTTTGAATTGGACCCTTTCAAATCAAAATCAATTTGGATGGACTGAAAGGACCAACAAGATATATTAAATTGGACTAATCTAGACTTAATGGTTCAAGGTGTTTATTAGATTAGACCTGGTCCATCGGTAATGAATTTATAATAGATAGGGTTGGATTGAGCTAATATCTGATCCATTAATAGAAGATAAAAAATATAAGTATCAATGGTTTAGGTTTAGATTTAAACCAATCTAAATTAAAATAAATTTGAACAGATTGAATAGTCTAGACATTGAATTGGATCGACCCAGAATCATCCAAAATATTCATTGAATTAAATTGGACCTACTGTATGTATTATGGACTCACACTAAATCGGATTCAACTAAATCCAATCCAATTGATACCCCTATATGTAAAAATTATGCAAAAAAAAATACAAATATGCATAATTAATTAGTCACAAAATTGAGGGGTTACTAGGGCACATCACACATGGGACACGGCCCTTTTTGTTTTCTTGAACCAAACATATTAATTTATTTCATTAAGCATTGATACAATAAAGTTCTACAAACATTAGTGTCTTCTTGTGTTCCATGTTTATATACATATTATTTCCACATGCCATTTTGTGTATTATATAGCAAAATGGTTGGTCCATGACCACCTGGTGGATGGCCTTTTTGGTTGCATGGGTGCTTCTGTAACCCCTTCTTTTAATAATTTTTTATTTACTTCCAAAATTTATTCACACTGCCTGTCCTAAATTAATATGCTGCATCTAAAAACACTATCAGTTTAAGTTCTTTTCATGGAGCCTTGGATGCTTCCCTACTGATACAATCGATGCATCTTTTTGAAAAGTACCTCATTAAAACTAATGCATTAGATGTTTCTAACTTTGTCTTTAAAAATTACTTTTGGACTAACCAGCAAAGGAAGTTTTATTTGCTACAATGAATCTATATTCAATATCTAGGCTCCATTTGTTTGCTCCCTAGATTTATTCCAAACTTCCAGTAGTATATAATTGCATAAAAATATTGCAAATTCTGGTTCACTTTTGTTTCGACTTTTATTTCACTTTGCTTCATTTCCAGTGCAAATCATGTTTTTTTTTAACCGCCATTGATCTGAACAGTCAGACCATTCAGCCTGTAAACTGTTCAGACAATTGGTTCCATTTCATCAATAAACCGTTCCTTTGCCAAAAATTATTGGTTTGATCAATGACCCACTGAACCGAACAATCGAATCGGTGACCTGTTAGACTTGAATAATGATTCTTGACCATTTTTTACTTTATTTATTTAGGTTGTGTTCAGTTGCTATAAAAATAAATTTGCATTGATGCAAAACAATGTCAGTGCAAATGATTTGAGTGTAAATTCCATGGCTTTCAAAACTGGACCGGACCGGATGGTCGGACAAGAAAAACTGGGAATTAGTTAGGTAATCGGTTTCGATTCACCTAAAACCACTTTTTGATCAAAAACTGTTGATTTGTTCTGTGACCTGTTGATTGGGGTGGTCGAACCGTTGACTCAAACAATAGTTTTTTGCCATTTTTTTTAGTAAGAACGAACCATCTGTTCGAACTGGATGGTCGAAAGGTTTTACTCGGGAACCAGTCCCTATAAAAGTTCCTTGTCTGATCCAATTTTAAAAACCTTGGTAAATTCTTACCTATTTTCATTTCAAATTTTAGTTTATTTTGTTTGATTGCAATACAAACGAAGTAAATTAAGACGTAAAGGGGAATAAAATAAAACCCAAAACAAAATTAAATGAGGATTTGCATGCTTTTCATTTACACTTTCCATGCATTTGTACTAGTACAAATAAAATTACACTCAAACCAGAATTTGCTTTGAACTCATTTGCAATTGCAATTCCATAGTTTTGCATTAGTGCAAATGGAACTGCAATGCTAACAATGGAAAATTCAAAAATATAACTTTTTGCACACCAATCGTTGATTATTGGTGCACCATTAGTTGTGGGACCTTTTGGTTTTTGAAATATAGATCCAAATAAAAGAGAGAGAGAGAATTTTCATTAACAATTTTAATCACATGATCTCAATAATCAAGTTAGGTTAAAGTTTTTTTCTTTTTTTAATAAATACGTAATTTAGGTTAAGTTAGGGTCGACAAATTTACGTGTAGTGTGTGTCGTGGTGATGGGGTATTTGTGTTAGGGTTGACGTCAACCTGATCCAACTAGACGCAATGGAGGCAATCAAGGTGTCCCTAAATGGAAACGCTTACTTTAGTGATCAGCGCCATAAATAGAAAAATGCAAATAGAAGAGCTGAAGAGCCTACCTCTTGGCTGAACTGTTCGGGTTATATCTAATTATCTATACCTGTGCGACTTGTGAGTGTTTCCTCAAATTGACCAATAAGATCATCCCACGTAGACAACCGTACGTGAACAATAAAGCAGAGTCCTCTATCAAGATTTTAGAGGCTCCAAGCGGTTTTCCGCTTTTTTGAACTAGAGACTAGAGAAATTGCTCCATCAGCTCTAGCTAATCACATGCGTTGCACGTGAGGCTGCTGACGTGGCGCAACCCCATTTGCGGGAACACAGTGGTTCCTGTTACTTAGGTCATAGAGGAGCATTCAGACTCCGTCTTTAAATACTACCAAGAAGGCATCATGACTCATGAGTGCAAGCAAGATCTCGTGGTTTTCTGGTGCAACTTTATTACAAAATCGTTCTGGTTTTAGATCTGTGGCGGATCGCACCACCTCCTGAAATCCGTGAAGATGTTTCCTCGAATGTGCGTTAATCTGGATATGCATATACTACAGCCAACCAAATCTACGTAAGTCTTATTTTTCAGAAATTTCATACTACTTTGTAATCCGTTCTCCCTTATTGTTTATTAACTATAAACAGATAAGATACTAGATAGAGCTGCTGCTCATCAAGAGCTAAAGCTCGAATGATCTGAGCCCAAACCCAATCTGTATCTCTTCAGGCGATCGCGAATCGATCCTAGCCATGGAAAAGTAATTACCTTGAAGCTGAAACTAGCTAGGATGGGGATGGGCTCAAGGTTAGCTTAGATATTACATTATCCGTGTATTCTCTTCATTAATCATCTGGGTTGCTCTGCGCTCTACACAAACTTTTCTCTTTGTTGTGATTTTAAGAAAAAATTACGCCGGACAAAATGGTCGGGAATTTGAAAGCGCTGTTTTCTTAAAACAAAAGCACATAGAGAAACCTTTCAGCCGTATATATAGTGTTTATATCTTTTCCAAAATGAGAAAACAGAATTCAGAAATCCATTAATTCTTGCATTTCTAGATCAAAAACATGATTTCTTGGTAGTTTGAAGCCATGCTCCATCATCCATGAAGCCAGAGACCCACGTGTTGAGTGAGTGAGAGAGGGACTCAGCGGATGGAGTTCCAAGTTGAGTTGAGTTATCTTGGCTTCAAAGCACTATTGTAGGGGTTGCAGCCTTGCAGGAGATCGATCAAGGATATATACATAAAATAAGGAGGTGGGGGGTTCCCACTTGCTTTACCTCAAACGAAGTTAAGAGCTGCATGCCATGCTCTGCTGCAGTGGACATGCAAAGCAAGGGCAGGCACGTACGACTGGTGAATGACCAGACTTTATAAAGCTCAGATGCACAAGATGCTAAACAGGGCAGACCCTGATGTTTTAGCGCCTTGTTCTTTTGTGATTGGGTCGTGTGATCACGGGCACTGATGTTACCATTTGCTCCTTTCTTGCCTTATATATGATTTTGTTGTCTCTTGCATTTGACTGTTGTTGTAGTGTTACTAGCGAATATCTTGCAAGTATGTTTGGCTGGGAATCTCTTTTATTATTATTATTATTATTATTTACATTAATTTATACTAAGGGGTATGGGGGGTATGTGGACAGTGCAAGTCCATGTGTAGTCTACTGACACTGACCTTACCACGGAGAGCCTGCATTTACGCGGCTTTGATTAAGGCTCCATTTTTGCGAGTCCGGATTTCCTGCACTCCGTTGGTGTAAGAGGGGATGCTCTTTCATTCAACTTTTAACACATCAGCCACACATAATATCCACGTCTCACATGTACGAAATCATCAAAAGGTAGGTCATTCCTTCCGTTATGCCTTTTTTTTTCATTTTTCAAATGTAAAAAATAAAAAAAAAAGAAAGAAAACAGGTTTGAATGCCCAATATGAGTCCGATGATGAAGAGAAAATTGGGAAAAGTAAAACCATTGAAGAAAAAAAAAAACCTACCTCTTTCGTCAGCAGATCTCACTTAGCCAATGGATATCTCATGCTCTTTCGTCATTCATTGATACAGTGGAATCAGTAAGAAACAATAGATACCTCATATCTATGGCTGGACCAAGATTTCATTTTATCACTGATTGTAACATCACCAATCAGGAAAAGAATCACCTATAATTCCTATTTTGTCAAAAAGGTTACAAGGTTGTAGAGAGATTCATTAAATCACCTTTTGAAGCACTTAGCTTGTTTGAGCTTCTCATCTTATACTGCAACTTGAAGAAGAAATAATTAGGGTTTTCTCTTCAATATTTTTTCCTGTTTGTTTTTTCCTCTTTGTCAAAAAATGATCAGCCATATCTACTTTTAAATTTCTTTTTAATTTTTATATTTATATTAAATAAATAAAAGTATAATGGGAGGGGCAATCAGCCGTTTAACGACTTCACCAATATGAGACGTGACTGTTGTAGATAAGTGACGTGTAAAACAGTAAATAGAAAAACACCCCATCCATCTCACACCAAGAGGAGTGCAGGAGATCCCGCCTCCATTTTTGGTGGGACACGGATGACCATCTTAGGGGTGTTTGTTAGTCATTCAATTTGATAGTGGAATGCATATACAGATAGGGTTGTCAATGGGTAGGATCAGGTCTGGGTGGAGACATGGTAGCACCATAACCGACCCGGAAAGAAATGTCAAGGTCCCAAAACAGAAGTAGTCCCTATAGGATTTGTAATTATAGATTTAGAACCAAATTCATTGGGTCTAATTTAATGGACCCAATTATAATAAATCTATTGAAAAATATTATATATATATATATATTAAATTATAATAATCGGGACAAAAAAATGAACTGGAACCAATGCATCGATTTAAATTTTGGAACCAGAACTGAAACAATCGATTCGGTTTCATTGGATCTATTGGGTCAGGCTCGACCCATTGATAGCCTTAGATGCAGAAAGTACACTCTTTTTAAGTCGTGGTGCTTTTTAGATGGTGATGATACGCATTTTGGCAGCTCCCGACTGTCAGGTGACTCGGATGCCTGGCTGAATAAACCCTACCTGGTTGAATAATCCCTACCTGGAATGTGGCTTGGAGGCCTATCTGAATGGTTCTTACCTAGAAGGTGGCTTAGATGCCTACCTGAATGGTGACAAGCTGGAGAGGTGCTCTGATGCTTAACTAAATAGTGACGAGCTGGAGAGGTGGCTCTGATGCCTAGCAGAGTGGTGACGAGCTGGAGAGGTGGCTCTAATGCCTATTTGAATGGGGATGAGCTGGAGATGTGGTTCTGATGCCTAACTGAATGGTGACGAGATGGAGAGGTGGCTCTAATGCCTAGCTGAATGGTGACGAGCTGGAGAGGTGGCTCTGATGTCTAGCTGAGCGGTGACGAGCTGGAGAGGTGGCTCTGATGCAACCCGCATGGAAACAGTGTCAGAGTGCCTAGGTTGTTTTACTCGGGGTGGGCACTCTGATACTTAAGTTAGCGAATCAAAGACTTTAAGATAGCTAAATGTGAGAGAGTTGGAGAGCTGCGAGAACTAAAAATTGTGCATCTACTTGGGTCTTAGGGGCTTATGCCCTTATGTAGTTGGGCTACCATGGCTCTCGCAAAACGCTCTCGAAATCCTCGACCTACGACGTAGGGATCTGTTCCGCTTTGGAAGGAGGATAACGTGCCAGTTAATAAGGCTTATCCTTTCCCTCCGATTCAGGCAGGATAAGGATAAAGTCTACGGTTACGCGGTGTGATCCCGAAAGGTTAAGAGACAACTGGCAAGCTTCTAGAGAGGTAGGTCGCCAGGTCAGCAGCAGAGGTAGGTCGCCAGGTTGGCGGCAGAAGTAGGTTGCCAGGTTGGCGGCAGAAGTAGGTCGCCAGGTCGGCAACAGAAGTAGGTCACCAGGTCGGCGGTAGAGGCAAGTCACCAGGTCGTCAGGTCGGCGGCAAAGGTAGGTCGCCAAGTTGGCAGCAGAAGTAGGTCGACAGGTATGCAACAGAGGTAGGTTGCTAGATGGGACCCCATTTTGACTAATGCAAGTTGTTGCCTAGGTGATGTTGAGATGTAGTCCAACTGTTCTAATATACTATATGTCATAATGTCAATGAAGGGTCAAATCTGCCCTCATCAGATGGGTTACTAATAAAACATTGATTCAATATATTTTAATGAAAATATATATATTTTAAATCTCAATTCTTTTAGAGTATACTATATATACAACTACAACATAGAACATGTGGTGAAGCAATACATAGGAATGACAAGTATAATCTCGATCCTCTGATCACAAATTAATTCTTGCACTTTTTTCTGTCATTAGATGTTCCGGATGTGTAGTTGTGGCGTACGTCTTGTGATATATGTGATCAGTAGATCCGGACTCATTAGTATAGCAGCTTTCTAGCTAAAAGCCACGTTCAGTTGGTGACATTTTAAATGAGCTTTAAAGTTGCTTTGGTGAAAAATGGGGAGAGACCAAATTGATCGACTGGGCATTTGACATTACTGTTAGCGATGTTTGGTGAAAAATGTTGGTCATTTATATGCTGTTAAAGCTTCTTTTAGTAGCTAGCTAGCAAAAGCGTGTGTTGGTAGGGATCAGCTTCCAATAAAACACTTTCATTACTGTCCCAACTTGCCATTGCAACCCTACAGTAGGAACATCTAAGGGTCTGTTTGAATTAGCCAACAAAACATATGTTTATATTCTCATGATAAGCATCCGAGGGTCTGCTTGGTTTATAGTCAGAATCAGAATTGGAATCAGCTTGAATGTATTTTCATTCCCAAAGGAAGGGGAATAGGGGAGGGAATGGTCATTCTCTCAAAAGGGAGAATGCCATTCCACCAGGATGGGAATAGGATTTCGGTTCTCATGAGAAGCATCTGAGGGTCTATTCAGATTCTGATTCTAGACCATTATTCCTGCAAACCAAATGGACCCTGAGTGTTTTTTTGAATCTCAACACCAACCTCTACGTGGGCACGTGTGTGTGTCTAACGTGCCTCCACCTAAACCTTGTATGGTGATGATTATTTAGAGAGATGCATAAGTATATATAGACATATATTTTTTTACTGTTTTTTATTACATATTACACATTACAAAGCATTAGTGTCTTATTTGACGAAATTGTATATTTATCACTTTTAAACTTTAGAAAAATTTGAAAATTATAAACATAATTTTTTATCCACCTTAAATGATGTTTTATTTTACAATTATATGTTAAAAATGAAAATATATTTATTATTTGAAAGAATAAAGTTATTATTTATATAAACATATTAAATAAATATTTTTATAAAATTTAATAAAACTTCATAAGTATGTACACGTTTTAGGTTGCTGGTATTGTTGATTGTTATATCTCTCTTATATAACCTGTTAAAGTGTACATTTCTCATGTGTTTATACCTTTTTTATATGATTTTTATATATTTTCTAGTGTATCCAAACATTTTGATATTTGTCGTTACTCACTAGTATTCATACATTTTGTGTGTGTGAATATTTATTTCTACTAGAGAAACATTATTTTGACATTATTATATGTAGGGCGCACATGAGGTCCCTCACCTTACCATGATATTGCAGTTAGCCAATTATGATCCTGCACCTCAATATTCGACTAAGGTGAATTGACCCTATCAACTATTGCTTCATATTGGGGTGGCAATTGCACCAGATTTAGTCCAAATTGATCCGATCCAATATGAGTTCAGTACCGATGGATAAGGTTCAATCCTGATAAATATTTTGGACCAGTTCAATTTAATGTTTTAATTGTCTAATTTGTCCAAATTAATTTTATTTTAGATCAGTTCCAACTCAAATCTGATCTATTGGCACCTGTATTCTTATCTTTTATCAATGGATTGGATATTAGTTCAATCTAATATAAATCCATTATGGATGAACTAGATCCAATCCAATCCACTAAATATTTTGGACCATTAAATCTAGGATTGATCCCCATCCTGTATGTCCAAATTAATTTTTATTTGGATGGGGTCCAACACAAAACCGGACCATTGACACCCTAGCTTCATCAGGTAAAGAGTCATTGGTTCAGGTTTCATACATATTATTTCAATATATTAAATTCATGATATACAATAAGAAAGTCACCTTTAATTCATTTTATTAATAATATATAATATTTTAATATTTTTTAATGTAATCTATCAATATATTTAATGCCCTGAATTCGAAGATAAACAAATAAAACCCGGATCTAATTCGATGTGATCCGTTTGCAGCTAGTCAAGATAATATTTCACATTTACACCACAAAAGCTACACTTATATCATTATCTTTATTTTTTAGAGCATTAAAATTGGTATAAATTCTCTGGTTTTCAGGCAGAAGAAGACCGAAAGAAAGAACACCGAAAAGAAAACAAAAGATGAACAGATTCTGCAGTCCATCGCGTTGAGCAGGAAGTCGATGGAATGCCAAACAAGATTGCCATTAAGATCCGATGACAAGTTGAGGTCAGCTCTACTCTTTCTCTATCACATTCTAGAATTTCGAATAATAGCATTTTAATTTTAAATTGAGATGATGTGGTTTGAATAATATCATTTTAATACTTATCGTAAGGAGGTGTTTGATAACACTTTTTAGATTTTTGAAGTCCGAAAATGTTGCTTTACAGACATTAGAGGTGTTTGGAAATATATCTGAATTTGGGTTTGAAAATTATTTTCAGATTTAAAATAATAAGACATGGGTCAGACACTGAATGCATTTAGATGCATTTCAAATCTGGCCAAAAGTCCAAAATACCCTTGAAAATATTGATTGCGCTTCTACTTCTCACCATTCATCTTTTCCACTTGACGTAGAGGCAGCGAGTTCCAGCCTTCTCTCTCTCTCTCTTTCTCTCTCTCTCTCTCTCTCTCTCTCTCTCTCTCTCTCTCTCTCTCTCTNTCTCTCTCTCTCTTTCTCTCTCTCTCTCTCTCTCTCTCTCTCTCTCTCTCTCTCTCTCTCTCTTTCTCTCTCTCTCTCTCTCTCCTTTTTTCTTCTTTTTCTCTCGCCACTGCAATCGAATAGTCGAATTTAGGGGTAAAATAGTAAAATTAGTGAATTTTAGATGTTGAAGGTTTGATCCAACAAAAACAACATTCTTTATTTAGGGCCTCTAAAAAGTCAAAAAAAAACTTGTCTCTTTTCAGATTTCAAACACTTTTATTATATTTTTAACTTTTCATATTTCAGATTTCAGATTTATCAAACGCCACCTAAGTATCTTGATCTATCGTGGTCTATCAAACTATTAAATGAAAGATTTCAAGGTGGTGTTTGACAAGTCTTTTTGAACAGTCTTTTAGGGTTCCATAAGCTTGGAAAATCGAAAATTGTTTTTTTTTCCTTTTTTGGTAATGAAAAGCTGATAAGACTAGCATGTGTTTGTGCAAAAAGACCCAAAAAAATAAGGCTGCGTTTGGCATGTCTTTTCGCGTGATCTTTCGGCTATTTACAAGCCGAAAAGATCGATTTTTTGTCTATTTCCATTTGGCACGCAGAAGATTTAACCGCTAAAAGACGCAACGTTGAAAACACGCGAAAAGCCCATTTTGGACTGATTTTAGGAAGGTCCAAATGAAACTTCTAGCAGTCTTTCACGTTTTAATCTCGCATAAAAAGATGCACATCTACCAAACGTGCTTCGGGCTGCTGAGATCTTCATGCAAAAGCTTAATGTGTCTTTTGACTGTCAGAGTTAAACAGGCCCTAAAACTGCTAAATTTTGAAAAACTTCAAATAATTTTTTTTTTTATCTTCTCGAATGATAAATAGCCTCTAAGCACTTTTTAAAAGCCCAGTAAAATGAGCCTCTTGCTAAATGATCTTTGTTTTTTAAAGACAGCCCCAAAAATTCAATACATCTTTTGGCCATCATGCTGGAAGATTTTTCTACAAAGATTTGCCAAATAGAACCAAGTATAGAGGATTTTCATCCATTTTAGTTTTTCCATGAACTTTTTGGGGCAAGTCCATACCTGTTCTAGCTGCCCGTCTTTCATTGCCAAACATGAAAATGCCAAACTTTGGTCTACTAAATACTGGAAAACCTGAAAGATCCTATAAAAAGACTTTCCAAACACCCCGTAATTAATTGATCCCACCATAGAGATTACTTGTACCAAAATAGGTGATTGCCACAAACTCTAACCAATAAATCGTCAATTTTCGCTTCAAGCAATATCAACGTCTAAAGAAAATCATCAGATACCTGGGCCCCACAGTACAGTATTCCACATTAACGGTGGTGATTGTACCCGTGCACCCAGACTAGAATTTTTACGTAGCAGAGTAGCAGACCACAGACGGATGTGTTTGTGTATCTGTGATTTTTCAAATGATTTCATTTTTCAGGACTGAAGGTATTAAAGCGAAGAAAAAGTCAGAGCCGGCGGCCAAAGCCTCTAACTTTTCTGATCTGATTCACCGAGCCGCATCTTCTTGCTTTCATCGTCCACCCAACAGAGGGCGCAAAGCAGGACCAGGGTTGGAAGATAGGATTGTATACAAGGAAGGTGAAGTTGAAACAGGTAGCGAAGTGTATACAGATGAAGATGAATCAGAAGCGGGGCTTAGGGTTTGGGAAGAGAATACTGAGTTGTTGGTGAGCTTGGAGAGGATGAAGGAAATGGAGGTGTTGATGGGAGAGGTATTCGAAACGGTGGCCGCTTTGAGGAACGCGTACAAAAGCTTAGAAGAGGCTCAGTGTCCGTGGGATCCCAAGAAGTTGAAGATGGCAGACGTGGTGGTAGTGGCGGAGCTGAGGAGACTCATTAGGTTGAAAGAGGAGTTTCAGAAGAGGTTAAGTAGAGCTGGAAAAGGAGGATTGCTTGGCCAAGTTTCCCTGCAGGAGGCTATAGCGCCATACGAGTCTGCAATGTGGGAACTTAAGAAACAGGTGGAGACCAGAGAGAGAGAGGTGGATAACTTGAAGGAGAAGCGGCGCAACGGTGGAAAGAAAGGGAGGTTTCACTCGTTGCAGTCTAAGAGGAAAGTCAGTTGCATTCATAGTCAAGGTACCATTCTCTTTTTTCTAATATTACAACAATGAGGATGTGTTTGGGAGTGTTTTTTTTTCCCTCTAAAAAGGCTTATGAATTGAAAAAACAACATTTTGATCTAGGCTATTGAAAAAAGCGCTTTTATTAGTGTTTCGCTGACCACCACATTGGAGCACTCTCAAGTCTCAAGCCTAAATACATTTGAGTGCGTTATAATTGTAAGCTGCACTCGGATCTGGAATTTGGGCTTTTTCTGGCCTGTTTTACTCGTCAGAACAGTGTTGGATTAAGCACTTTGATCTCAACATAATCTCATCCTGTAAGCCTTTGCTTTTGAGCTTTGGGATTGTGAAAAAACAAAATTGAACCAAAAGTAAAACACAATTTACTTTTTGTGCTTTTGGACTTTGAATGCACAAATCTTCAAACCTTGTCCAAACGCAACCTTAGTTCATACTTGACTGACAACGCATCTCTCTCGGACCAAACGACCTGCAGTTGGGGTGGCGCCTAGTGTGGAACTGTTCGAAGCAACAATGAGGCAGGTGAAAGACAATTATCAGTCATTCACGGCGCTCCTCCTCTCCCTCATGCAGTCCGCTCACTGGGACATTGCGGCAGCCGTCCGATCCATCGAAGCGGCCACCAGCCCAAACACCACTAGCATCGTCAAAGCTCATCACGCCAGCTACGCACTGGAGTCCTATGTGTGCCGGAAAATGTTTTACGGTTTCGACCACGAGACGTTCTACATGGACAACAACGTCCCTTCATTTCTCCACCCCGACCAGTTCCGCCGAGACTGTTTGGCTCAGTTCCAAGATATGAAGGCCACGGACCCGGTTGAGCTCCTGAGCATATTTCCCACTTGTGGCTTTGGCAAATTTTGCTCTATGAAGTTCCTCTCTCTCATTCACCCCAAGATGGAGGAGTCTCTGTTCGGACATTTTGAGCAGCGTCGAGTGATTTCGACGGGCAATCACCCGAGGAGTGAGTTTTACGAAGAGTTCTTAGCAATGGCGAAGGCGGTTTGGTTGCTTCACTTGCTGGCCTTCGCTCTCGATCCGGCTCCATGCCATTTTCAGGCAACCAGAGGAGCTAAATTTCATCCTCTGTACATGGAGAGTGTCATCGAGTTTTCCGGCCGGCGGGAGCCGCGTGATTGGATCGTAGGATTTCCGGTTACTCCTGGGTTCAAGCTTGGAGACAGTTCGATCATAAAGGCTGAGGTGTATCTTGTCCCCAGAACGTGATATCCAGAGACTAGAGTCTAGACAGCTCGGAATTTGGAACTGGTCCGATGATTCAGTGTTGCATAGGTAACCGGCTCGGGTTTTTGACTCGGCTCGACAAGGTGGAAAGTAGAGTCAACTAGGGAGTCAGTGAGTTGACTCAGGAAGTGAGAAGTCATGTTACAAATTATTATAGATTATGTTATACTTTTTCCTACTGTAGCAGAACTCTAGGTAGTAGGAGTTTCTATAAATTATGCTTAGAGGGAAACTAGGGGTGAGCATGAATTGGTTAACTTTAGTTTGGAGGTAAAACCTGAAATCCTAAAAATTAGGGGTGAGCATTAATTGGTTAAGTTTAGTTTGAAGGTAAAATCTGAAATTTAACCTTTCAAGGTTCTAGGGTCTATTTGTAGAACTTTTTCATCATCCAAAAAATGGAATATGTTCTTTAAAAACATTTTAAATTTTGTAAATATTATGTTTCATGTTACTTATTACATACATTGAAATATTAAATTAAGTGATTTGATGTTGCCAAATTTGGGGTTGAGGGTAGTTGAGTAATTTTCGAGGTCCAAAGGTTGATGGTCCCACTTGCTAAGAGTGAAAAGACGTCGGAGGCCCGCGAGTGTTTCTAGGGGCAAAGACTCCAACGATCAAGTTAGTTGAGGGATCAAAGAGAGTAAAGATCACCACAAGAGTATAAGTGATAGCTCAAGTATTCATGCCTACCCCTGGTTGTAATGTCCCTTTTATGGTAAGAGTCGCCTGGAGGGGGAGAAATACATAATGTGTAACTGTCCCATATATCATGGTCACTTAGGGGGATCTGGAGAGGGATCGGTCAGCCACGACCTCATGTCATTGGCCTAGGAATAAATGTGCGTAGGACGTGCACCGGCATTAAGTGCTCATCAAATTGCTAAAGGCAAGAATTACTTGAATACCCTTAGAAAACAGTTGCTAGTCGATAATACCCCTAGCCGATGCCACGTGTTAGAATCCAATGAACTGACCAAATATACCCATATCAATTGCCCCCTACCCTTGAGGCTGAGGCCACGACCTCATATCATTGGCCTAGAGTAAATGTGCCTAGGACGTGCACCCGCATTAAGTGTTCTTCAAATTGCTAAAGGCAGGAATTACTGGAATACCCTTAGGAAACATTGCTAATCGATGCTACGTGTTAGGAATAGTCTTGTGAAGCTTTATTATTCATGGACCGCGATCAAAATTGATCGGTGTGATCATGACTGAATCACCGTGTCTCGTACGGATGCTCCTTGGTTGATCTTAACCTCCGTATACAGGACGGACATTGGATTTATTGATCGAAAAATCGTGTCCAGGACAGACCTGGCTTCTACAGCTCAGAGGACGTTTTGGAGTGGAGTGAGATAGCGCTAGTTCAGTTACTCTTTTGTTAGTCTGGAATACGTGAAAGGTTGTCCAAAGTCCAAAACGCTTGCGGAATTTTATGACATGACAGTGGTGAAACCTATACGGCTATACCCAAGGGCCAAGAGTTCTGGGAGGGGCAGAACTGCAGAAGAGGCAGGGGAAGGTTTGTGCATGTTGGCTGATTCTTCCGCATGTTTCCTCGCTGTGTTTAGTTGCTTGCACAGTGAGTTAGAGTTTATAAGGGTTTTGTGTGGTTTCTTGCTCTACTTTGGTCTAAGGTTTGGTGTTTTGGGATTATTACCTAAAGGGCCTGGGCCCATTTCTTGGAGGTTTGACTTAGGCCCTTTACTGGGGTTTTGGCTAGTGTGTAGTGTCCTTGTGCCAATGGCTTGAATGCTATTCTCAGTATACATCTTGTATGTTCTTTTCTTAATGAGTAATACCTTACAATATTCAAAAAAAAGAAAGAAAATACAGCCCACAGTTCATCATGAATACAAATATCCACAGTTCATGAAAATGACAGAATATGTGCCAACTGCCAACTCTTGATATCGGGCCCGAATTTATAGGTGGTTTAGAGAACTAGATTCAATAGATGTGGCTCTAATATGCCATTTGCCCACGATTTTGGTCACTTTAGACAAGCAGACTAACTCATAGATTACTAGGGGTGCAAGACTGCAGCCAGACAAGCTGGGCTGGGTGTCAGCTTCTTAACCTAGGCCCAATTTTAAGAATTTGATAGAGCTCCACTTGAGTTTAAAGTTAAATCCAAACTATCAACTCCAGGCCCAGGCCTAACTGAAATTTGATGCAGTCAAGTTGGGCTCAGGCCTGAGCTGGGCTCAAGTTGGTCTGTCCGTTCACACTAAAATTTAATACAAATGTGTGTATATGTATGCCTGTATGCATATGGTTTACGAAAAAAAAGGTATGCATATAAAAATATATATTTGTGCGTTCATATATGTATCTGCATAGTGAGACTAGGTCCAAACTACTTAAGAGCTAGGCTCAAGGCCGACTAAAAAAATAAAGGGAAATTGTCTAAAATTCACCATGAATTTTCAGCATTTCTCTTAAATTCACTACAACTTTTCAAAATGTCTAAAACTCATCATGTCATCAAGCTTTTATTTTCCAAAACTCACCTTCCGTTAGTGCACTGTTAGTGCCTCTTAATAAAGGTGTCCACATCAGCATAAATAACAATTTTCATGACCAAATTACCCTTGAATAGCGAGTTGGAGAAAAAGGGTCTTTTTCAGTTTTCAATTTTTTGCACTTTTAGTGTTTTGTTATAATTTCCAATGTTTTTTATAATTTCTGTTTTTTTACATTTTCTATTTTCTACAATCTATAAATTTTCTTGTCTTTTTTGTTATTTATTTGCAATTTCTGTGTCTTTCTATAATTTTCGGTGTTTTTTCTACAACTTTTCCTATATATATGTATATATTTTATATTTTTCTATGAAGGCTAAAATGATAATATATTAACACCATTAGTCTGTTTAGTGTCGAGTTAGTGACATGGTGAGTTTTAGACATTTTGAAAAGTTGTGAGTTTAAGAGAATTGCTGATAACTCATGGTGAATTTTAAGACAATTTCCCAAAAATAAAAGAAAAAGACCAAACTTTTGGGCTTAGGCCTAACTAAAGGCCCGAAAATCCAATCCCAATCTGTGTAAAATTGTAGGTCAGGTCAGTTCAAGCTCGAATTGGGCTTACCCAAATTGCACCCCTATAGATGACCTAAGAGTGAAGCAAAGATCCCTTTATTGTCTACCACTTCTTTTTTTTTTTTGAAGAATTAAAAAGGAGAAAGGAAAGTACTTTCCACCCAAAGTACTTCATTTTCCTATAGAAAATTTTGCACCCACTTCGGTTTTGCATCTGTTTATTTGTGTCAATCATTTGCACTCTTAGGCTATGTTTGGTTTAAAGGAAAATGCAGGGAAAGGAAAGGAAAGGTAGGAAAACCTTTACAAACCTTTTCCTTCAAACCAAACATAGCCTTATGGTCTTACCTAATATAAAATTTGCTCTGTGTCTCACTTGTACCCATTGGCAATGCATATTTTGCATATGCAAAAATGATATAAAATTGGCGCCACTTACTCCTACCTTAATTCTTTCTCATACAAGGTGGAGACCATATTGATTTGCTTCCTACTTTACTACTTTCAAACGAATATCCTTTCACCCCATGTTCTTTCATATAAATTGGGACCATACCATTTTACTTCTTAAAGACAAACAAAACAAAGGCAAATCTAAAGCAAAAGTGAATCAGAACTTACACTTTTAATAAATTGCTTTATTAAAAGAATGCATGTAATACTATGGTAAGATAAATTGAGATACGCTTTTAATAAGTTGCTTTATTTTTATTTAGTAATCTTATTCGAAGGTTATCCCACTACATACATTTCAATCTCAAATCAAAGGTTCAAGAGAGAAAAATATTATATTGTCAAATAAAAAAATCCCAACTTATCCGAATACATTTAGCAAATTAGTATATTTGATTACAGAAGAACAATGTAATCAAACAAAGACCAACAAGAAAATCAGTATATTCCCATAACAAAATGATCCAACAATAAATCAACATGATGAATTTTGAAAGGGACTTTGAAACCAATAAGTGACGAAAGGGATCAATCTTACTCTTTTGAATAACTAGACAGAATGTTTTCGACCTGTAAAACTTGGCTCCTTACTAATTTTGCATTATATTTTTAGTTCTTTTTAATAATCTCCGTTTTTTCTATATCAAGTATAATATGGATAACTGCATTATCCTTATCATATAACTATTTGGTGATCATAAGAAGAACTTGGGGTCCATTTGGTTCATAGTCGAAATTGGAATCGGAATTGGAATGGTCCATTCCCATAATTTCTTTGGTTTAGACAGGAATGATTCTCAAGGGAAAGACAAGGAATGGCCATTCCTTCAAATGAGGGAATGTCATTCCAGTAGGAATAGGAATGGGATTTCAATTCCGCCCAATCAAACATTTGAAATCGGAATAGCCCATTCCGATTCCAATTCCAGATCCCTATTCCTGCAAATCGAACGGACCCTTAATTAGCTATGAAAACGTCAGCAAAAGTTGTAGAAGTGGTTCGTTATTACTTATATCTTGCAATGCAATATCCTAAAATCTGTTTGCATGAACAAGGATTTTCTTTTGTCTTCTTTCGGTATTACATAGTATACACATTATAGGGAACTCAGGGATGAGGACAAAGCAGGGTGCAAGTACGACTCATTGGCCATACCATGAAAACCCTACAACTCCGCAGGTTTGATCCTTCTCTTATTAAGGACATCAAGTGAACATCTAAACTATTAGGTCATCTGCCAAGATCTAAGTGGACAAACTACAGCGTTCGGCATGGACAAGCTTAGATTTGGATTGTCTCGTTTTGTTGATGTGTAGTGCTTTTGTATCTCTTTGAATTTATTGTTTATAAGGGGATGGGCTGAGTTTGAAAGGGAGAGCTATTTGTTTATAGTTAATAAAATTTCAACGTGACTCCCTCTCCAGTTGAGTAAACAAATGAAAGATCCCATGTCTCAAACCCCAAACCTACTGCATGCATGAAAGTGGATTCCCACAACCATGTCCATAGAGAGGTCCATGCTTGATTTGTAAGATATCCTCCAAAGGTTTGATTTAGGGGGAATTTGGTTTCAGAATTAATTTTTTAATGTTCAGTCAAATGATCATCAGTAGAAAAGTAAGAAAGTGTGGTTTTCCATCTTATAAAACAGCCCCGATAAGTAAGTTTAAGAAATCACTCTCAGGTAAAGTTATTCATCACTAATGACATATATTATTTACAATATTGGACTACTGCTTAGGGGTGTTAGCGAGTACGACCTCCAATATAGGCCGTGAACTGCTATCAAGGTCCAAACCTTAGCAGACTTCGTCGAAGAGTGAACTTTCAGCTCCGAAGTCCCCAGGCCGGTTAAGCATGAGGCCCCCAGTTCGGGCGAGCTCAGAGCTCCCAAGCTGGTTGAGTCC